CTCTTCTCAACGATACACCAATCTTTACATGGTTTTTCGCATTTTCCCTTGTTCTTGCAAATATTTAAATCTTCGATGTCCACCATTTTGGTTTTTGGTGCATCTTTGGCGAAACTTTTGAAGGCGTCTAAAATGGGTCGGTAACCCGTACATCTGCAGTTATTGCTTCCGAAGGAATTTTCGACTTCATATTGTGTCACCTCGTAGTCATTGGCTTCAAGTAAACTGTGGAGTAATAATTATTATGGCTTTAGGATGTTCTTAATCTTTTACAAAACCGACCAAATCTCACCTGTGCATGTTCATGATCCAGCCCGGAGTGCAAAACCCGCACTGACTCCCGTTGTGATCCGCCAGTGTACGCTGCAAGGGGTGATAAGCTTGTCTGCTGCCCAGCCCTTCTATTGTGGTAATTTCCCAATCTTGACATGACAACACCGTGATTAGGCACTGAGACATTACGACAAGTAGGTTAGAATTTTGGTTATCATTAAAATGGTTCAATAGAATATTTAAAAAAGTTTATTTATTTATTTACACTTTGATACACACAAGATACACAATTAAATTTTTAGACCTATAGAGTGCACCGGGCGGCCCTTTCCACGGCGGCGGGTTTGGACTCGGGAACCAGGCAGCCCGAGTCCAAAGTTATTATGTGACTTACTGAGTTAACTGAAAATGATCGCCTTTGTCCATTAGAATCCGGAGCTGCGACGCTGACTATGCAGATGCCACATCCACCTTCCTTGCACATATATTTGGTGCCTCGAAGGTTCAGACGGTTGCGGATGAAGTCGTTGAGTGTCTCGTCTGATTCCACCTCGGAGCCAGCTACAGGAAATTTTCGAGCAGGATAAACATTCCATAATACCTTAACAATATAATCAGTAAACCAATCGAGCTATTGTATAGGTATTCGTTCTGAAATTACAATAGCTCAATGCTCAAATAATATAAGTAGATTCGAAGGGTAAAGCACAAACCTTTTTTACTGTTACTTATATGGAATATTATCTTGACTTCAATTAACAACAACGAAAGGTCTTGTTGCAATTAATGAGTTTATTTTCAAATGTAGTTTTAGTTAAGACTCTGTTCACGACGAGGAAAACTCCACTTCATGGCCATTTCCAATGTCAAGTGGCAGTTGGAACATATATGCTCTGTATTATATTATGCTATTGTCTCAAGTTTAAACATTTGCTAAGCATGACTTAATATTTATTTTACATAAGTGCATACAAAATAAACTTTCAGGTATAAATAAATCTCACAACCTATACAAGAATTCAATGCAGTTCAAATGCCTAATAGCCCACAATTAATTGAGAAACATAAGTGCTTCGATCAGCAATTCATTGAAATCGTTTTTAAACTTGTGTTAAAAGGGCCATAAAAAGATTTGAATTTAAATTAGGTATTATGTTGCACTATATTTCGGTTCTGCCTACTGTATTACATACGGTCCGTAGTAATACGAACGGACAAATCTATACTAATATATTGGGGAAAATTGTTCATTGTGGGTTTCCGATGTGTACGCTGCAAAAAGATATCAAAAAAATATGTATTTAAGATCCCCCTTTTAATGTAAATAATAATCTAAAAAAGTCCGGGACGCTCTGCCTATATTTAAGATTAACTTGCAAGAACGACGAGACGCGATCGACGTCGTGGGTTAAGTTTATGAAGATGAAGATGTTTGCAAAAACAAATTTGGTTGCCCAAAAATAACAGATGTAACGAGGAGTCCTTTGTTTTGCTTTAATAAATCTAGATCTATGTTGTGTGTATCAATTTCGCCCACACAGTTAGCCAGAACAATGAAGTCACGTTAAAGTATTGCTTAGAATTTCGGTGGGACAAAACTGACCTAGCGGCACTCCTAGATAAAACGCTAATGATTCTTTTAATATTATGATTATTTAACGATAAATAATAAAAAGTAAAAGAGTTTTACGATCATGAGTAGAAAAAATAAAAAGTTAGAGACAGCCATACTTGCAAATGGGACAAAAATGGATCGGTGGCACTTCTAGTGTTAGTCTATAGTATAGTTAAGCACTTATTACATGGTGATATAACCAATAATTGGTTAAATTCATCAGTCCATAAGGTAAATACTGTCTATAGTTTACACACTACACAGTACAGTAGTACACAGTCAAATAAAAAGCTTTAACGTTTTAAAACGCGATTTGAATCCGTAAGGTATTAAACTGTAATTAACTTAAATTCGAAACTTACCCGAACAGACTTCTCCATTCACGCTGAACGTAATTCTATCCATCGCTCAACGAGGTGGTGAGTGCCAATTCCGATTTGCATGACTTACGATTCCTTTTTATGTTAAAGAACAATTAATGATAATAATGCTGCTGGTAATACAAAAAAGTGCTTGATTTTATGAAAGCCTGTTAATCTGACGTACTGAGACCTGGCTCCGGTCATTTCTCATTTTATGTGTTTGTCTTAGTAACACCTGTTTATCTATACTAATAATATAAAGCTGAAAAGTTTGTATGTACACGCTAATCTTGGAAACAATTAATTGTAAATAAAACATCAGGCTGCGACCAATAGGAACGCATAAAAGGAGGTCAATGTGGAGAAAACGGAGAAATGATTCATCGTTGAGTATTCCGCTGCGTACACTGTAAAAACCGTACCCAATACCCAAAAAACATTTATGAAAGAACAATTATTCTTTAAACAATCTAAAAAAAAAGTAATGCAACAGTTGTTGTCTATCTTTTAAAACCAACTCAGAAGAACCCATTTAATGGGAATTAAATTTAGTTGAAATACTTTATATGGTAAAAAAACGTACACCAGGCTACTTAATAACTAAACTATTTATAAAGTTAAAAAGAATGCACATAAGCCCCTAGACGGTTTCTTTGCCGATTTGAGCCAACCAATTCTGTTATTCTAGCAGAAAATTACACGAACATCTTCTTAATATTGAAAATCTATACTAATATATAAAGCTGAAGAGTTTGTTTGTTCGTTTGTATGCGCTAATCTCAGGAAGTACGGGTTCGACTTAAAAAAAAAAAATTTTTTTGTGTTGGTTTAGAGCATTTATCGTGGAAGGCTATAGAGTAAAAACATCGCGCTCTGACTAAAAGAAGCGAAGATACAGTGGGAAATGTGAACAAACGGGGGAAATTTTTCATCTCTGTGGGTTTCAGATGCGAAAACGGTTGACACTTAAATTTTGCAAGAACGACGGGATGCGACCGATGTCGTGGGCAGCTTAAATTTATAAAGATAAAGCCCAAAATATTTTTTCTACACGGACGAAGTCGCTGACAGATAGTAAGAGGTCGGACTAAGAGGGTCGGATAATATTCATCTTATAAACGTGTTAGAATCATAATTCTCTCGGTCATTTATTTGTAGAATAATATTTGTTCTTCAACTGAATGCAGCATAAATTATCCAGATTTCCAGTTCATGTTTTAAAAAAACACAACGTAATTTAGCAATAATTAGTCGGTTCGCTACCCGTGTTATAAGCAGTGGCGTAGCCAAATGGGCAAGGGCCCCTCTTTCTACGTGGCTTGAACTTTTATCCCCTTCAAAATTATAGATAGGAATAATAGTGGAATCTCTATGACGGGTAGGTTCGCTGTGTTTGATAAAAGAAAATAGAATTTAATACGCAACGACGCACATGACATAATAAAATATTTATTACCCCGATTAAATCAATAAATGAAAAAACAACGATTTTTTACAGACTTCGCGGTCCAGTTTACAACTTCTTGCGCGCTTTGACTTTTGCGAATTCATCTATAACTTCAAAATCCAAGTTTGATGCCACCGTATTTTATATCGCACTTAACGCTAAATTTCGGAGGCGATTTTGTCCACTGCTGTTTCTTACATATTTTTTTATGTTCGGTGCACGTATTGGAGGTCTTAAATCGGGAGTTCTCTTAATGTTCGTGTTATGTTCACCTAAAATCATGATTTAAAAAAAAAATCTTGCGAGCTGGCGGATCTGGCGAGTCGGCTAAGTCGCTTTTTTTCAAAACTTTGTTTAAAGGGCAAAGAGCCTCTCGAGGTCCAGGGCCCTGGTGCACTGCTCCACCGGGCCCTACGATAGCTACGCCACTGGTTATAAGTATCGTATCCAATAATTAAAAACAGAGGAGTAAAACTAAATGCGCAATCTCCACTTCATTCGGAGGTTAGTAACAACAGTTGGTTATAATTATAGGCAACTTTTTGTATAGTACCATTAACAATCGTTTCCGATTTTTTCACTATATCATTGCGTGAATATAAAAAAGTTATTATAATGTAGTTTAGAAACGAAGTTAAGCATCTATTTATTCTAGTTCATAGTTTTCAAAATTAATATAACATCTTGTCAATTGATAAATATTTAGGGGAACATTTTTTTGCGGTAGGTATTCGCTTATCAATTTATGCTATTAGAATTATTATGACATGATACTACTTTGATATATTCTAATCTTTACAACTGTAGCCTCAACGATCTCTACGATACATTTGATAATATTTATTAGTGCAACATCTACCTCATTATCATGTGCATGCATGTAGCGTAACTTATGACGTCAGAAAAAGACTTAGTGTGCATTGGAGCCTACTGAGAGAAAACATAAACATCGATTCATCGAGAGCACAAAGATAGATTAGTGCGCGAACGAGGATCGAACTCAGTGACCTCGCGAACGTAAGTTAAGGTTATTTTATTATGACTAAATATGGTGCGTTGTCGATCTATTTTGACGACGGCTGGACTGACATCGAAACGCTAATTCGATTTGATTCGGTGGGATTTGAATCCACGTCCCGTTGGTTGTGTGACTTACGTTGCTATTGATGCGTATATTGTACCGACCAGACAATAAAACGTTTAGCTATCTGTTAATCAATTGTTATCAAACAGTGTCTGAGCAAAAGGACACGAGCATTAGTGGACACGCGTCCGCTGAGTTCGGTGCTCGTTCGTGTCCGAGATGACAGACGCGCTGAGAAGTCCGACCGCTCTGCTGACCATCAGACTGTGCTTCTATAGCGTCGCATTCGTGCATTTGCTAATTGTTGCTCTAGTTCTGCTCAATGTGGATATGTCAATTGACAGTGACCCCGCTGTTCGACTGTACACAGTTATCAGGTGGAGATTGTTGACAATATGGTTCAATGTGAGTGCCTCTAATTAAAATAATAAATAACCATTTAAATAAAACACTTTAACGGTTCAAAACGCGATATATTTTAGTTAAACTTGTTTAAAAATTATTTTTAACTACAGCCGTTTTTAAAAATAATTTTTAACTACAGCAGGTTAAAAATAATTGTCAAATAAATTTATCTAAAACATTTAGCGTTTTAATATTATACTAGTTTTTTATTTAAATGTGTACTACTCGCGTAAACTACAGACAGTATTTAATAAATAACCATTTCCCACTGAAATTACATCTTTTACAGATAACTTATTAAACAATATTATTAGAAATGTATAGACATTTTGTATGTTAATTTTATTACATAAAGTGCATACTTTCAAAATGTCAGATATCTATGTTGTATATTTACTGTTTAATCCACGGATTAATCATGATAACGAAATTAGTGTATTAAAACAATCCAAATGTATAATTATTATACTAGTAAAAATAAAGTTATATTAATTAAATATAGATTACGAATTAATTAGGAGTAGGGACAGCAGCGCGATCGTGTGTTCGATTACTTTGCGCGTTCGCGTCATATTTATTTGTAATCTGAAATAAACGTTGAATTTATCTTAGTTCTCGTATAAAAAAACTAATGATTCATACCATAAAAACATTTACGAAAGATTTCTAAATTAATGAAAAAATAATTTTAAATTTTAAAACCAACATACATGTTAAATAAAACAATTTTTACATAATCATAAAGTAATTTTGTATTATATCTTCGTCTATACCGTTATCTACGACTGGAATGGAGAGGAGATAATTCTAAGCCATTTTTATTTACTAGTAGTGACAAATATACCTATAAATATATTATTATGTATAACTAAATAGATGAGTTTACGTTATTCCGATAACGAGCTCGTTGATCCTCGAGTTGAGCTAATGATCAACGGTTTCAAAAAAGTTGTATTTAGTCTAAGGCTGAGGGAAAATCTAGATATTTATTCGATATTTACACATATGCACTGTCATAACAGATAGAATCCAATGCGACCTTTAAAAAACTAAACAATATACATATGATAGAACAAAAATATATGAACTTAAACCAACTTTCGTAACTCAAAATAAACTTTAATGTATTAGTGAGTTCACCCCAAGGACTGTAAAAAATATCTGCTGTTTTGTGCAATACATTTAGGACCTCGACAGTCCTCTTCCATTGTGCCTTTGCCATTACGTTCGTTCTAGCAAAATGCACCACGAAAAGAGGTGGCGCGCGTGTCTTTTGTACCTAAGCAGTCCGGCACGCTTATGCTAACTTGCCTAGGACGCCGTTGTTGTATACTTTCCCTCTTAATAATTTAACTATATAAAGAGCTAGAGCCACCATTCCTAGCACAAAGAGTGTTGGGTACATTAGGGGATAATAGGGATAAATTTCGTAAATTTTAAAATATAAATGTCTTACAAATTTATTTTGAATTTTTTCCAACATGGCACAGTATTTTTCTTCGTGAGGTGCCCATATTGCAGCATTATGTTCCAAATGGCTTCTAACCAATGCATCATACAATACTCTCACGGTTGCCACGCTAGTGAAATATTAAATGGGCGGTAAGAATTTTATTTAGGCCTTATATGGTTGGGTAGGTATTTTACCTTCACTCAAGTTAGAGTTCCTAAAAAAAACTAAGATTAAGGACCTAACTGTAGAAAAAATCCTCATATAAAATCATTTGAAAGATAAAAACAGTGTAAATTGCAAGTGTCCAACGGAAATGTCATCTAGATATTGATTTTAAAATAGCAATCAATGCTTTAATAATTAAACAATATATTGTAATATCAATTCTATCTGCTGCAGTGGAGCAACCGTATCGTTTCTGTTTAAGGATCGTATCCTTGGACGCTTCCATTGTTACATGAATTACGTACACACATGCGTGGTGGACTTTTAATTTATTTAATAAAATTGAGTTTTAGAAGTATGCCTATAATGCAACACTTAAGTAATCCAAGTGTATAGACATGTAATGCATATTGCAGATTATTTGATAAAACAGTACTGCTATATGTATTCTGAACTGCTGTAACTACGTCGGAGAGTATCAAATTTATAATTTTACGTTTTAAGCCGTCATAAGTGTTTTTATTAATATAAATAACATATTATTAAAATATTTAGAAGTAAATCATTCCTTTGTTCAATCTTCATTTTTAAGACTATATAAATACATCGCAAGTTTAAAAATTTAAGCAAACCAGACGTTTTACTTATTTTAAGCAAATGAAGGTTCATGTGACATTTTAGTGAAGGCAAAGAAAGACGTACGGACGTAGACTGTTAAGTAAGAATGCGTCTAAGAATACGATTACCCAATCTCTTGATTCTAGTTCGAGTCACTACAATTTACAATACTGTGTCTTTGCTAAAACAGTTTAGAAGGCGTTTTGTTAAGAGCGTTTATACCCTCCACGCGCAATTTGGCTTAAAACTGGGTTTTTCAAACCTGTTAATATCGGTAACCATTTATCGTACAAACATGTTGATTAGTTATATGTTTAGGAAATTTCACTGTCTAAAAACTTAGTAGAAAAAAAAATCACGATTTATGCTGTATTAATGCCTTAAATCGGGATATCTTAAAACAGGTTTTCTTAAGTCTCGTTTTAGTATCATTTTCGAGGCTTAAAATATATGAAACTACTTAAAGATTTAATTAGGAAAAACCTGTAACCTATCGTTAAGACCCTTAACGAAATATTTAGTAGAAAACATTTTTGAATTTCGGTATAGAACAATAAAAATAAATATGAATATGAAGGAATTACAACGTTTTATTTGCCTATTTATCTCGTGTAATTTAATATTAAAATAGTTGTATGCGATAGAAGAACTCTTTCTTTAAATATTTATCTTAAAAAATCTATCTATTTGTTAATTTTTCTATAATTATTTTAAAACTACTAGAAATCGATGCGAGCAAATCAAAATTCAATTCAGTCCGCCGCTAGGCTTTCTAGAGTTTGGACGTATAGCTCTGCGATGGTTTAGAGTTTATAGAGCGATCGACAAGCTTTGTACTAGACTAAGTAGAGCGATATTCAAATTTTATTTTTGACTGGCAAACAATAATTACGATTACATTACAGAAGTAATGGGAAATAAAAAAGAAGTTATTTTAAGCAAAGAGAATAAAATGCAAAAATAAAGAAATTTGAAAAGGCACGAGCTAAAAAGGTTGTTATGGTAATTTCGCCAGTTCACGTCTATTTAGTGCAAGTTGGGAAGTTTGAGGGCGATAATAAAAATGTTCCCGCAAAAATTTTTACATAATTTCTTTGTAAAATGTTTGTAATGTGATCAATATAATATGTATTTTAAGATTCAATTTTAGTTTTGTTCGAAGCATTTTTTTGTTATTTTTTTTTAAATAAATAAACTTCAGAAATATGCATTTTACCCAGTTTACTTCCACAAAAACCCAAGTCGTGCACCCCTGGACCAATTCTCGTCCACCATTAGGACACATTTTAAAATAATATATATTATAAATTAACGTTTTAATACGGCGAACGTAACTTGGCAAGTCTGAAGTTAGCGCGAAACGCTGAACAGAAATGTTCCATATGATGTTAACGGTGGTAAGAGCGACGTGCGAAGGGACCGAGATCTAGGCTAGAGATTGCCTCAGGGTAAACACAGTCGACGTATTCTATTAAATTTCGTAATCGACTTTGATTATGGATTTTAATTCGTATGGGATATTGTAGTAAATGCATTTATAGAACCGTGAATGGTGTTGTTAATAAACGATACCATAATTACGTTTAAAGGAAAATAAAATCATTAAAACTTGTTTTTCTTTATTGGACGACGTTATTTTGTTAAATATGAGTTATTATTTATATAATTACTATTTATACATATTTTTACTTTCTTTAAAGCTTTTTATACAAATATATTTTTCTTCGATCCATTTCTGTCTATTTCAATAGGAATCGGTTAAACGACACTCTCAAGAATCGCGTCTGGACATCTCTATTTGGTTGTTTCGCAAAACTTCGTACATATTCGGTAATAATCGGTAAACAGAAGGGTTTCTCGGTCACTCCTTGGCGTTTATTTCGTTATCTCTGTCTTGAGCGCAATCCGTTAGAAAAGTGATTGAGAGATTTATAGTTAAGTTTAATACTATTACATATTTCTCTTTTGTTATATTTTTGTTTTGTCTCAGCATTTTAGTGAAAGATAAGTGTTCGTAACTCTTATTCTCTCTGAATCAATTATTGGTATGTTACTTTTGCTTGATATATGTAGAATCTTCAATTTATCCCAGTGACGTAAATAAATGACAGTATCTATTAGATTATTTTACTAGTGTATGCGCCAAAGTTCGTCTTAACTATGTTCAGACATGCCAAGTTAAAGCCGTCGTATTATATTATCATAAAATACCACTTTAAATATATATAAATAAAGTTTATTTATTTTCGTCGAAAAATTTTCAAGTCATTTTTGACCTAGGCGATCATATTCCAAATTTATTTTCAAACTATTCTCGGTTTTTTTTCTGAATTATTGTCTAGCTATTAAGAGAAGCCACAGAACTACCTATTTTTCACCATCTACTTCTAGTGCTGATTCTGGTCCAGGTTTTTTTACTCCAAATCCATTTCAAGTACAATTGCAGGTAACGAGAAAGACTTTATGTTTATTTGCAGTCTGGACAGGTAAAGACTTTTCCTTGAAGTTGAAAAAATAGATTATTATAATGAATGTCTGCAACCAGAAAGCATAGACCCACGAACGTCCAGATAGATGCCGCTGAGAATTACTTTTTACTAATTTTTATATTTATCTTTTGAAATTCATATTACACTTAAATAATTTTTAAATCCGAATGAAATGTTTTATTGAGTAGTAAAAAAATATGAACTGATGATATTGTTGTTTATGACAACTACGCCCTTAAATCTTGGACATTTAATTTCATTGTGTATCAAATAAGAAACACTACTATACGATATATATTGTTTTTAAAAGAAGCTCATTTTATATATATATATATATATATATATATATATATATGTTTATGGGTACTAGTACCAAACCCTCGGTGACCGCATAATTATTATAATATTGCAAGGATCATGACGAGTTCTAGCGCTACAAATCGCCCCAACTCACGCACACAGACTCTGAAATACCTAAACTTGATATCGCGCGAAAGGTTTTAAACACCGCTCTTAATTCTTGTTTCAGAAATAAAAAGTTATATTTTTTAGGCTAAAACGATTGTCCACATATTGTATTAAACTAAAAAAAATATTTCCAGATGACATTGCTAGTGTACTTTCCGATTTGTTTTTATTGCGACTGGATGGAAAAAAATGGCCGCTGGAACGACGTGCGCATTAGATACTTAAGGCAAGTCAGGGATTTAAGTTTGACGAGCATTTTACTGCCCACAACATTGGTAAGTTTTTTTTTATTTGTGCAGTTTTAATTATCATTGAAATGCTCACAGATAACAGGTTTGAGGTACCCAAACAGGCTTATTGAAAGAAAGCAAAATGAAAATAAGTTTAGGGTGTGACGGTTCAAGAGTCAAAGCCATGATATGGTTCAAGGCGGGACTGTGCTTGCGTTATATATGTTTCCACACTGCAATCTATACACTTAAGCTATATTAAAGTTGTTAATCTCTGTAGCTAAATGGTTAAACGCGCTAAGCGAGAGGTCCTGAGTTCGAATCCTGGGGAAACAATAGTTTCGGTCAAGTAGGGCACAGAAGTCCGATCCAATACTTGCCTGTAAGCCGATCAGTGCAACGAACACAGAAATGTGTTTTCCCCCATGCCCCATGGGGAGAAGGGGATTCCTGTTTAAACTTTTTAGTTTTAAAGAATAAGTATAAATTGTCTTCTCCAATAGACTTTCCGATCCTGTTCGACACTTAAGTTTAAGCAATACATGGTTTTTTCAGTACTGCGACACGCTATTCTGGCGAGTATGGAACAAGGACCCTGGAATTATAGCGCCCGTTGGCATATTCACTTACCTTCCTTACTGGACACACCACTCCCTACACTCTGTATCGGCTGTAGTGGTTCTGTTAGACCTGCTGATGGTGCCAAGGCGTCGACCCCCTAGTCTATGGCCTGGTGCTCTAGTTTTGACAACCTTTATTACTCTCTACTCTACGATGTACGTATAAATATAACTTACTCACATTATAGTTATCCACGTCGTTGTCAAGGAACCATATGAAGTTCTTTTGATACCAGCAGGGCAAACCTGTAAAGGACATATAGGATTTAAGTCAAGTTTTATCGCGTTTACGTACAATTTTTAAATATCTAATTGGAAAAATGTTGAAGTTTTAAAACGCAAAATATATCCGTCTAAGTATTTAATTATTTTATTTATTTATTTACACAAATATATTAACTGTGTACAGCCGTAGTGCCTTAAACCGCCTTATAATTTAGTGTTTTATTTAAATGTGTACTACATACTCGCAAACTACACACAATACTTTTAAAATATTTTATTAATTTATTTTCGATCTAATTAGTGCCACATGTAAAAAAAATATAAAAGTTTTCAAATATCACTTACTTGACCGTTGCCCTCCAGAAATCATGTCTTGCAATAATCTTGCTAAATTGACCACGCTGATAATCATGTTTCGCTATATTTCAGTGTGGTGCTGAGCTACTACAACGGCATAGTCGTTTACGCCGTTCTGAACATGTTTGACAGACTCCAAATATTTCTTCTAATGCTCATGTCGTATCTAGAGCTCTACTTCTACTATACGATACAGTGGTGCGTCGTCGACGGTGTGTGGAAAAAAAGAACGGAAGGAAACAAGATAAAAAGCAGCTAAGGATACTCAAAAGACCAAGATGGAAAGGAGAAAGTACAAAATAATTTAGGACAGAGTGCCATCGACGCTTATTATGCGTAGTCACTAATTATATCTAGCTTTAAAATATTTACTTATGCAACAGCTCTCTTGACTGCATTTTGACTTCAGAGTAAGTTAATAGTAAACAGATAAAATAATCTACGTACGTATTTAATATGTAGTTTATTTTCAGATAGTATAAAAATATACATTTATTTTAAAATTCATACCTTAGTATATTTTAATTACACATACAATATTGATCATTCTAACTATTAAAGTAATGGCAATTATTTTAAATGCTTCTCTATAAAATATAGTCTTAATATCTTTTGGTTGGAACGTGTAGACTGTAGATCATAGACGATATTTGAGCAAAATACACATAGACCATAAAAATATCAAAATTTGAGCTATTTGGGCCTTTAATTGAGAAATAGCTCAAATCCAACCAGATCAAAAACCCAGTTGTTTAGTAATATGGCTGCGAGAACCTTCTATAATCTAAACTTGAGTTATGAATTACTTACATATCATTTTTAAATTATAATATAATGCGAATATCATGCTACTATTTTGTAGGTATATAAAATATAATTAATATACAATGGACCTCCGGTAGACCGACAAACATTTTGCAGGGCATTATCGAACTATCGAATTCGTCGCAATATAGAGTACTGCCTATGACCCCCTAGCCTGGAATTTTTGACAAAAGAGTACTTTGTAATCCGACAAATAACAGATTCAATAATTAGATTCTTATATGTACATATATGTACTCTGATTAGACAGGGACCGGATTACCGGGGGTCCACTGTAATAATAAAGATGCACACTTCTAACACCCATAAATCTAAAACAAACAGCCATATAATATCTTTGAACGACATGAATTTTATATACATAATTCTTTTCTAAGGCAGTTTAGGATGAACGAGGATAGGAAAAGCAAATGAGTTTATACTAACAACCACCGTTCACTTTTCTATATGGATAAGTATACAAATTTAAATGTATATAGAAGACTAATTAAACATTTGTAACTTTTAACTTGTCGGGGCGCAGTTAAAAGAAAATTTTGCATTTGTACGAAAAATACTTAAAGAAATTAATATTGTCAATGCCATTGTTTGGAATTACTAAATGCTACTGCAAATGTATTGACTACATTTGGCCTGGACAACTACAAATAAACTAGGAATATTATTAACACTTCGGACGAAGTATACTTTCTTAACAATCCTTCGAGGTAATTATTTTGATTTAAAAAAATCCTTCATGGAATAAAGAGCTACAGTATAACTTGATTCCATTTCTCGCTCTGGGCATGTGGCATAATTTTCACCGATGGGTTTTATATAAGTGAATCTAATGTTTCTCCGGGATTTCCAGGAGCCAGGACCTCTTTTACCATAAGTCTAACAGAATCGATTTGAAGAGTTACAAGCCGTATTCTTCTTTAACCTATTGCTCTTAGTAACCCTTTTAACCTATAAGGAATCCAGTCTTACACATTACCCGTCCAGAGTACCAACTGTTCCAAAATCTGATAAGTATCTTGCTACAATAAATCTACAACTATCACAGTCACATTATACCTAAATTATTATTTACAGTCTACCTAGACAATGAACCCAGATTCATCCAACAGTTATGCACTACCCACTCATACATATACTAAGGCCCAATTTCACAAAAAAAGTTTGATTGCGGTTAAGTCACCGAAGGAACACCCAAGTGGCATAGAACAGATGTTGACAGCCGTAAAGATTCTTAAATAAAGTCATTATAAGTCTTTTTAATATAGAGGAGAACAAACAAGTAAAGGGTGCACTCGATGGGAGGTGAATATACCCTAAGGTGCCATATAACATCTAAACAAGATTTTGGATATGAAAAACTACAGACTGAGGCCGAAGCTCGATTGAACTTGACTTTTACATTGTTGGAAGGTGGTTTGATTGTCTAATGGAATTTCAAATTCCTACCACCCCTTGATTAAGAAGATGTCCAGACAAAGTTCAACAATTTAAGAAAAATTAAAAATTAAAAAAACTGTGAAATTGAGCCCCTTAATGGCGATTTAATAGCATTAGAATAACTAAGATTATCAAAACCGGTGTACCTGAACTAAAATACCTCCAGTGGTAACGTAGGATAGAGGCGAATACTTTTTAGTTTAGCTGTACAACAGAATTGTGACTTTTCCCTATATCTTACAAAATTTGGCAAGAAAGTACATCGCAACGCAGGCAATGAAGGTACACAATAACCTCAGGCAAGAGAACAATTATCGCACTGCTCTTAGCTTCCACTTAAGGAGGAGGAATGCTGCCGTGCGAAGAGAAAAGAGAGTCACCGTCAGCGCGAATACGTCCCACCAGAACATGTCTGGGTTCATAGCGATGTCCTTGAGGAAGACTTTGGGGTGCCTAAAAATTAAGAAGTATCTCATTTATAGCAATTGGGAAAACCCAGATAACTGAATAACGTAATTTCGAAGGACAATTAACTTCTTGCTTCCAATTGCCAAACGTTTCGTGAAAATATAATCGAAAGAAACAAAGAAGTAATAAAACTAGCTGATAATACTATTTTAATAAAGTACTTTTAACGGTTTAAACGCGAAAGATATTAGTTAACTAATTTTTACTACGGCCCGTCGTTTCGGATGCTTTCCAGCAGCCGTGGTCATAAGGAGAGTTAATAAAAAACCGCTTTAAACCGTTAAAAGTGTTTTATTTGATCGTGCACTATAAGCGTGAACTACAGGCAATACTTAGTTGAGTTATAGTATTTAAAAAATAAACAACAAAAAGAAACTTAATAAAAATGGTTTTGTCTCGAGGGAAAATAGTAAGTACTCACTTGTAATGACAGTAAATATCGCCCTCACATGCCAGGGTGGGCCTGTCCAGGCCATAGATGGCGGCTATGTAGCCCTCGAGGCCATATCTCAAGTAGGAGACATAGGAACCCCAGTAGAGGTAGGGGGGCAGGTCGCGAAGAGTCACCCCAAAACCAGCGAACATCATCATGGGCACGGAGAGTGTTGGACCGAGGAATGTGCCGTTCTGAGATAAATTAAAATTAATTAAAAAATAAATTTTATGTTAGTGCAACAAAAATATTTCTTTTGATAATTGTGTTTTTTTTTTCATACTTAATCTATAAGTTCTATTATCTCATTTATACTTTCATATTAACATTTCTTTATAGATTATTTATGATAGAGAAGGACATACAAGCACGGGGTTGTCTTGGTAGAAGGCGAAATATTTTGATGGCTGGGACAGCTATTTTGGCTTTGTATATTTGGAAGTCCACAAACTGACCAAAACGCAATATAACTTTAATATAACTTTTTTTTCTTGGGACAGTGGTTCGTGATCCGGACGTAATTCATACCACCTATTAAATCTGGAATTCTAAATCAATTCAGAAAAAATATTTATATTGGACCCGGTGGGGTTCGAATCTACGACCACTTGATTAGCCAGACTGTGCATTGCTGTTGTAATCTTGCAAATAAATATTGTTAAGGTTATGGAATCCGTAAAGCAAAAATATATATAGGAGAAACTCACAACGACATTGAAGACGGCGCCGACCATAAGTCCGAAGCTCTGCGCGACCAGCACCGTGTATATGGAGATCGTGAAGAACATCGCGAAGCGGGCTAGGTCCAGCGGCTGCGACGACATCGTGTACACGATCACGCTGAATATCGCACACGAGAAGATCTGTCACAAAGTAGATATTAAATACTGTCTATAGTAGCGAGTAGTACACATTTAAATAAAATACTTTAAGGTTTAAAACGGGATATAATAGTTAAAATTATTTGGAAATGAGGTTTAACTTCAGCCCACTTCGGATGCTTTGCACAGCCGTGGTATGGGGAGACAAAAGAGAATAAGTTTAACTAATATATCGCGTTTTAAACCGTTAAAGTGTTTTTATTTAAAAGTTAGATATTACTTTATTATATATCTATACTAAAATATAAAGGTGAACAGTTTGTTAGAGCATTTATCGAAGCAGGCTTTAGGCTATAAAACATTGCGTTGAGACTAATAATGTGGAAAAAACTGGGAAAATTATTCATATTTGTGTGTTTCCGATGCGCGCGATGCGAAAACAGTTCAAGGTACCAAAAGCAAGAAGCCTTACCAAATACTTGAATATAGAGATTTGGTACAATATACAGATTGGCTGGTGAGTTGGTGGGGGTATCGAAACCCGTGTGTGTCAAGTGTACAAAATTAGTTTTTAATTACAATATTCCTTACCGATATAGGCAGATCCACGACTGTTACAGAAATGTAGTAAGATCCCAAGGAATACCATCTATTGAAATGCTCCTTCAATAGAATTGACATCTCTGATGGAACTGTAGACGAGAAACAACTTACATTAATCATATTTTTTAAGTACTATTTTATTGGTCTAGTGGTTATAACACTCGATTGCGAGATCGAATCCCGGGTAAGGCGAAGCTACTTTAGAATTTGACATTTCCTTAATTATAATATTGTCCAGACTTTAGAAGTAGATTTGTCGGAGACCATGTTGTGTAGATGTTAACGACCACTCCGCACCGGAGGAGCGTGGTGGGTCCACATTTTTAAACAGTTTCAAACTTACACGTCAGAATCGTAAGCATCATAGGCGACATCATGTGATGCATAAGGATAGCGAAAAGCAGGTTGTAGTTGTCCAGAACTCGAGAGCCCTCGTTCCCAGCGTTGATGAACAGCGTTCCCAACATTATTCCCACAACTACGTTCACCATCACTCTCAAGTGGGTCAAAGTCTGGAAGAGATATAGAATAGTAGAATAGTCAAAACTTTTGAGGGACTTATTAGCCCTACATGGTTAGTGTGTAATGTATTTAAAACATGTTAGACTTTGTCTGTAACGTCTGAATATTAAATGTGTGGTAGGAATATCGAAATTCCATCCGGATCACGAAAGGCAATGCACAAATAGAAAAGTCCGTCAATGTTTAGTCTGTGGATTTGAAACTCACATACATTATCACGATCAATTTTTAATTTTAGTGTAAAATAGGAAAAAGCAGCTTGTGCATCACCGCCTAAGAGTAACAGTGTTCAGTGCAACCGGGAATATAGGTTAACAGAGCATTTTGTGTAGCTGTTTTAGGACTGGATATTTTACCTCCCATCATTATACCGTAAGTTTGTCAGTACTACTTTATATATTTTTTTATATATATATCTTAAAAAGACAATAAAAGTTTTTGAATTTTTTTTATATTATTCAAAGTTAATCAATCGGTCTTGCCATAGACTTGAAAAAATGTGTATTAGTCTAACTTGAAACTTACAGCATCGCGCTTAGCCTTTAAAAACCCTCTCTTTATAAGAACCGATCGTTGGTTAGCCTGTGATGTCTCTTCTGTTCCTGGACCGGCGTCCAATTCCTTCATGCCACTGAGTGGATACAATTTTCGGAGGGTTTCCATTGTGGGGATCGAATCAGGGTCATCAAACCAGTTGTGAGCTTTGCCATTGTCTATCTTGGTCGTTAGAATTTCTATTTTATCATCGCCATATTCTCCTGATGCAACTTCAATAACTGAAAATGTTAAATTTATTTCGTAAGACTAGACATTTTTATATATTTGTATCGTCTCTTGTGCCACAGACGAAGTTAGTTTCTGTACATTAATAACAAACTTACTTTTTATATTGTTGTCAAAATTAAATTAAATGTTTTTGACTTGAACACCTCTATGTGACTCCCCACTGGAGCCAAGGTTGAATCCATCATAAATTGTATAATATATAATAAATAAACAGTGGCAGTAGCGTAGCTAGGTCATAGGGCTCCGGTACATACAGAATGAAATGGGCCCTCATCCCCTCTTTCCGCGTAGTTTAACTTTTATGAACTTCCAAAATTATGTTTTCCTCTTATGCTTAACTCTATTCAAAGATGAGGTTAGAGGGCCCCTAAACTCCAGGGCCCTGGTGCACTGCACCATCGAGCCTTAATACACAGATAAATAAAACATACCAAACTACATACCATAATCTGCTGGGTTGTGGTATATAGGACATGGTATACCAGCTTCGTCAAGGTATGATACGAGGTTCCTCGTGGTGCCTTGATACAAGCAATTCCCGGCCGCGAGAACATAAACATGGTCGAATAGAGCGAACAGTGAAGCCGAAGGCTGGTGAACAGTACACACTATGGTTCTGCCTTGGTGTGCAAGACTTTGGCACAGCTGTACTACTTGTGAACACGATGAACTGTCGAGGCCCCTGAAATAGATTTAATACTTTTAGATTAAATTAATTTTCAATTGGAAAAAAAATTGCTGTGATGGGCGGGACTTGAACCGGTCACCACAGCGATCCTTGCTGCTCTTCTAGGAAATCGAGGTGCCGTGTCTTGCACGTCATCATTGAATTTCTACAATCTATACTAATTTATTAAGCTGAAGAGTTTGTATGTTCGAACGCGCTAATCTTCGGAAGTACTGGTGCGAATTGAAAAAATATTTTTGTGTTCAACAATTAATCAAGGAAGGCTATAAAACAACCCGATGTGACATATAGGAGCGAAGAAACAGCGGGAAATGTGTAAAAAACCGAGAATATTAGTCATCCTTGTGAGTTTCCGATGCGTATGCTACGAAAACAGTTCAAGATACCCAAAAAATATGTAAAGAGAATAGTTCTTCTTCATCATTTAGATCTAAAAAATCGCGACAGTATATGTCCATTTTTAATTATCTAATTTATAAAGATGTTGGAGGTGGTTTGCAAAAAAATATATATTCTGACGCTCAAAATCTACGCGCACAAAGTTGCTGACAGACCTAATCATTGATGGCATTGATTGCACCTTTTGTGCAAACTTATTTCAACTTTAGCACTTACGTTTATAATTGAAAAAGAAATTTCAGATGACGACATTATATTAGAAATCTCTTAAGACTCACATTTTAACACATTTATTAATTTGTGAAATTAGCAGACTACATTCATTTCTTAAACTGTATCTAACTTAACAATACGGTTGTTAGCTTAAGTATGATGTTAGCAGAGGCAGTGTAAATTCTTTTATTTCTTACGTTGTAGGTTCGTCCAGGAACATGACTAGAGGATTGTTGATGAGTTCCAAAGCAATGGACAGCCGTTTGCGTTGACCTCCAGATAGTTGAGCACCTCTTGTGTTCCCATGCTCGTACAGGCCCAGGTTTGAGAGAATATCTTCAATCTGAAAGGCGTGCGAGGGTAGTTTGTATTACTTATGTCAAAATGTTTGTAAAGTGAGTATCGAGTATTGTTAGGTGTATTTTCTATTTATTTATTAAGACGATAACTTACCACTTCTCCTTTCTCGTACTTATCAAGGGTGGTGGGTAGTTTGAGATCTGCCGCTAGGGCCATATTCTCTGAGACTGTAAGCAAGCCTTGTAGACGGTCATCTTGTTGGATATAACATGATATTTTCTTAAAACGTTCTGAAATAATATAATGTTTCATGAATTCGATTTTAATTTATTTTAGTTACATAATGAAATTTAAATAAAATTATCTTCCATTCGATTCTGAAACGCAACATAATATGTCATCGATAGCAAAAACACTAATAATTGCAAATTACGACACAATCTGACCTTTACGACTTGGCGTAAAAACAAATATTTACACTGTATTTAATGCGTTACATATGACTTTGTACGTACTCATTATCCTGCCTCTGCCGTTGATATAGATCGCCCCACCGACACCACTAATCCTGTAGCCAGACAGGACATCGAGTAATGTGGATTTCCCCGCGCCCGATGGTCCCATGATAGCAATGAGCTGCTTCGGCCGAAGTCTGCCATTGACGCCGTGTAAAATTTGCTTTGAACCTGAAATAATGAGAAAAAATGTATTATACTTCTGTATTTCTAAAGGAACTGAATTTACCAAGGGACAAAAATCTTCCCCGGTATTCCAACACGTCTTAATATCTACTTTCGTCACTTTCTGTCTGCAAAATTCTGTAATGCCTATGCCGCCATTTTGTCTACTCCAAGAATTCTAAGAATTGATCCTTTTTCGCTTAAGCGAAGACATCACCAAACCCAGGTAAATGTTTGGCTTAGTTTAAGAAAAAAAATAATTACTTCGTAAACTTGTAGCTATATTCAACCCAATCCGTATATATGTATATAAAATGTAAACGCAATTAACTCTAAAACTGGAGCAGTTTTCTATTGCCAAAAACGATAAAAACCTTGCACGTTTTAAGGCTACGGCCTTCCTTTAATTAACCTTGTACACACTTATATGTCATTATGATAAAACATATATCTATTTCTTTAGATAATTTCAGTCTGCGAATAAAACCTACCATCTAATTAATAAGAACGAGTTTTAATCAGAGAAATACTGGCTTAAGTAGCGTATTGCGAATAATTCGGAGAAATTCTGTATTGTCTTTATTAATAAAAATGTATATCATAGAACAGGATCTTGATTACCGTTTGGTAGATGTCCATGGACTGTCATCACTGAGGAAGCCAATTAGAGTTATTCGTCTTCTAAATTTAAATTTATGCAAGTAAATAGTATATCTATACATTGATTTGCATTAAAAACAAATTCGTTACGACATATAGTCGTAGTAAGTAATCGTATTTATACAAACATATATTATAGAGACAGATTTACTTTTCAAGGCTCAGTTTATGTTAATAAACTAACAATTAAAATGCAGAAAGAATGATAACATTAAACTCTCGCAGTAGTTTACAATAATTATGATCACAATCCAGTTCAAAGTACAATCATATTATATCATTTGTAGTTCAAAGTCCAAAAACCGCGAAGTAACATTGAAATTTTTGGTTTCATTTGTTTGCTAACATCATAGAAATATGTAAATTATACTAAATATGATATGACACAGACAACGAAAAAAAATATAGACGAGATAAGTACGTACGTCAAGACTGTAATTATGCAAAAAAAAAATATTCCAAAACATATAAAACTCATTTTTTTATTATCTAATTAGCAGCTACCTTATTGAGTAATTTAAAAATTCGGCTAATATTGATATTAAACGATAGATGGGTTCGATTCCCGGGCAAACAAGTTTTGACCAGACTGGGCACAGAGTTTTGGTCACCAACCTGCCTTTAAATAAAATCGACGTGCAAAACAAGCAAAGAAGTGTGTCTGTGTGGCCCGCATAGGGGAAATGCTGCAGTATTTGTACCACTGGGTATACCGTATCATTTAAAGGGCTATAGAAGTCTGTTTGACCCGAGATAAACTTTTCGCGCGTCATCTTATATAATTATCACCAGAAGTTCACGTGTGTTGTGTTCGTTTATATGTCAATCAACGATTATTTGCACGTTTCGAACCGTTCACCATATCTGCCATCCACGAATATTACGCGTGCCTCTTTTTTTCTATTGCTCCGTGTTTCTGATAGTCGGTACTGGGTATAAGTCTCGCGAAATATCGTTGAAACTAGATTAAACATGAATTGAACAAAAAAAAACTGTATGAGTCGCATTTCTTAATTATTTTCCCACCAAACAATAAGGTCATAATAATAATAATCTTTGAGATGCTTTGGGCAAAAACAATTGATGGTTGTATTTTTAAAATAACATGAGTGTCTTTCATATTTTTTTGGTAGGTAGGCAAACTTGTATTAGAAATGGATTTTTCCAAGGACCAATAATAATAATAATAAGTTTTAAACTTTCCATTTAATTTTACTTAAATTACTTGAACTTCAGAAGCAACAATAATAATAATTAATAATAATATATATAATAGCTAAGCAATAAAAAGTAACAAATTATGTAACTTTTAAAGGATTATTTGCACAGCTTTGTAATATATGTAAGGTTACTGTATAATATTTTTTATAATATCAACATCAAGGACAATTTTAACCTATAAGGGAAATAAAAATAGTCAGAGAAAAGGTAGCCTAAGCGCTTTGCAATTTTTTCCAGGCATCTTTAAACTTGGGACAAGGCGACAAGATTGGTAGAAGTACATAAGTAAATAAACGAAATATAAACATGTTAAAAGAACAAAGATAAATGAGTGTCATAAATAGGCAATGTAGTGATGGCATTTAAAAAGTAACTATTAAACTTTTATTTTTTGAAATTGAGACAAAGAAACTCTCTGTATATCTTCCTACTTTTGATGTCTAACATATACAAAAAAATAACATAGTTTTGAATAATTAGCCATTGTATTGTTCATTCATATATAACTAATTAAGAGTTATGATAACCTCTTTTCACAATATTAGTAAGTATAGTGTGAAATTGTCATTCAACATTATTTTAAACAATCAATATTGTAATAGCAAATAGTAAGCACAAACACAACCTCTGATTTGAGTACATTGTTTCCTTTTAAAAGTTTGGCCTCTTGGCAAATAGATATTATAAAGGGTTTTATAGATATGTAATCAATGCCTGACCCACATACTCCCACGCTAATAGCGATAGATTGCGTAAATAATATTATGTTGCTAGCTACTTATTTCGTGAATATTAATTAGACAAAAATGTGCCCAATGTTCACAATATCGTATTAATTGTGACGATAGCGATAAGAAGTTTCGTAAGACTAAAGGCTGTGTGAGTGGTAAGAGGAAATGAGTTCTGTGTGCAGCGTGAATCATGATGGGTACAAAAGCTAGTACTTAGTTTTGTTGTGTAAATTACAAAGATGTATCGAATGTGGTATTCGGTAGGTAATAAGGATATAATTAACATTGAAGATATTTCAGATTTCTTGAACTGATTTGCAAAAACTTTACAACCTTGAGTAAGCACAATAAAAAATGTCTACCATTTGTCAAAGTAAGTTATTGCCGCCAATATTATTTTAAGGATAAATGTACCAATAGTAATGTTTGTCAAATCTATTGTTACCTTTAACTCCTATAAGATGTCGCTAACGGATGAGGCTGACAGCCAAACGTCCTTGGCGTTTGCATTTTGCATAATGATTGGGCTCTCCGAAGACAAAGGCGCCATTAATTGCTTCCGCACCAAAAGTATTGTATTTCGGTTGATTATTATCTGTGCCTTTATTCTTAGCAATAAACAGGGACATTTTTTTTTAAATTCGACTTCCAAAACCGGATAAATGTAAAGATAATATTATTTATGTTTTATTTATATCTATGGTCCATAGAGCGGATATAAATTTGTCTTACGGTCACAATAAAAAAATGTAAATCAACAGTTTTAAAATTCCTCGCAGTAGTGTTTGAGGGCTTGCTAATGATTTAATACTAAGAATTTATTAAAATGTTATAAAGTGTGAATTATACTTATACATTGGTGTTAAGATCAATCTTAAATTTCATATTATTGTGTATTTTGCATCGAGGCGGATAAGCCAAAAATTAAAACAACAAACAAAATGCTGGCTACGCTCTACAGGTTTTAGCAGATTTTATTATGACTTAAGGTACGTAACATTATATTTTTAACTGGTTATTATATAAAAAAACTGATGGATTTTTTAAAATATAATCATGTATTTTGTACAACAACTGTTACAATGTAAATGTTATGCAAGATTAGAATAAATACGCTAATTGGCGGACATCCACCCGTCGGATGCAAACGAAATCAAGTACCGTGATAATTTGATGGATAAAAATGATTGCATTTGGTTACATTGTTGCAAGTAATACCTACTCAATTCGAAGAAATATTAGCGCTTTGAACGATTTCTCTCTCAAAAAATAACCGTGATGTGACATATAGAGGACAATATAATTTAAAATTTTCGTAATACGTACTTCAACTCCTAATTACAATAAAAACATATTATGTAATATAATAGAATGCCTGACCACGCTAAATAACTAATCGTTCGAGAAACACAATATGTTAAATTCGTTGACCACAAAAAATTTTGGCAGATTCTTATTTTCTGTTGGAAGAAACAGACTACTATTGGAAACTATTGGAAATAATAGGTCAAGTTTATTTTTGAAACCCACATTTAACCTGCCGTCCAGCCCCCACTCAACACACTAAATCTTATTGCTTTACGGACACTTCCTTACTACCATAGTTACAATTACTCTGGGCTTCCACCACGACGTCGGCGAAGGGAAAGGCGTCTTGCTTCACTCGTCACCGTTTTTGTTACCAAGTGTCCCATAGGTGTAGTTAATTTTGTAATTATTCTTTTAGCAAAAGTTTGCAACCTATATTCGACTATCAGCTGCTATGACGTCACGCGTTCACTGACACTGATAAAGTTCGCGCTATTTGTGACTGTGCGCATACGTCACTTTTACACACGTGTGTCACTCTTTGTTTGCATTCAACAATGTTTGATACATCATTAAAAGGATCATTCACTAGAAACTTATATTCACTCTGCTAGCAACTTCAGTTTTTCAATTGTTTAAAACAAAAACAATCAAACAAGTTTATTTTTCTACACCGATATTAGAATTCCCTGCCTCTTCGTGAGTACTTCTAACAAGTTGCGTAATGGTTGGTGGTTTTAACTCTTTTCAGTGAGACTAGTAAGAAAGTGTTATCAACAACTAATAACAACTACAAGATATTTCAAGTGATTTTGACGATTAGTTTATACGAAAAATAATCTTCACGTAACCCCAGATACGCTTAAGTGATGGCATTAATCACGATGATGAATAGAGCTATGTAAATTATACAAGAATCACCAATTAGCCCACAAAAGAATTGAAATCGACCTCAAAGAGACTGCGTGTTTCACCTTGTATCTTTATTAGTTTCAAGTTACGCTTTACACCAATAGCTATTAGGTCACGATGTTTTTACGACTGCCACCTTTTATATTAGACAGTTTATAACCGTTGCGAACAAAT